AAAAAAAGACTAAGTCCCATCGCCGAATGGGACTTAGTCTCTGCAGCTGAAATAAGGCTGAAAAAACGGCTGAAAAAAAGACTAAGTCCCATCGCCGAATGGGACTTAGTCTCTGCAGCTGAAATAATTTCCCATTTACTGAACCAAGTGGGAAATAGCAAGGCAGGCACAAAGGGTTTGCACCAGGTCTGGGGACACAGGGGACACCGTCTTAAAGGGGCCGTGTCCCCAACAAGTCTGGGGACACGGCCTTAAAGGGGCAGTGTCCCAATCTTCCTGATGTCCCAAAAAAGGTGTTTAAAGGGCCAGCACCAGTCACATAAAGAGTCCATAAGCCCCAATATGCCCACCGACAGTCTTAAAGGGCCATACACACCAAATAAAAGTGCATACATTTTCACAATCTCCCAGGGGCCATAGTCATGCGGGAGGAGGCTGGCAAAGAGGCTTCTCCACAACCCAGGGAAACAGGGCAATTTGCCATTTAAAGGGCCCGTTACAAATAGCAGTTTGTAACAAGGTGTCAATCCATATCTGCCAAGTGACCCGATGTAGGGGGAACAGTCCCTATTCTGCTCTGTGTCAGTGTGTATCAGGGATCCTTAGGACAGGTGTCAATCCATATCTGCCAAGTGACCCTATGTAGGGGGACCAGTCTCTATTCTGCTCTGTGTCCGTGTGCATCAGGGGCTCTGAGGACAGGTGTCAATCCATATGTCAAGGTGTCAACATGTCATATGTCAGGTGTCAATCCATATTGATTGTGATTTAGGAATGTTAGGTGATTTCTGCCCTTTATGGATTAAAACCAGACTCTGTATCAACTGTGTAATTTTCCATGGGAGTTTTGCCATGGATCCCCCTCCGGCATGCCACAGTCCAGGTGTTAGTCCCCTTGAAACAACTTTTCCATCCCTATTGTGGCCAGAAAGAGTCCCTGTGTGTTTTAAAATTCGCCTCCCCATTGAAGTCAATGGCGTTTCGGGCGGTTCGCCGGTTCGCGAACATTTGCGGAAGTTCGCGTTCGCCGTTCGCGAACCGAAAATTTCGGGTTCGCGACATCACTAATATTAATTCATCTACAGTAGTTAAGACAAAATTCCATAATATATACATACAAAATATATACAACTATATACACCCTATAGATATAATTTTGATAAAACTAGTAGTTCATATACAGTCTGGTGGATCCACCAATAAATTGATCAATAATAGGAATTGATAGGCTGATCAGACAGAATTGTTTTTAAAAATAAAAAATAAAAAAGTGAAAATGTGAAAAAAGTGAAAAATGAAAAATAAGCAGCTTTATGAATGAAAAAATCGGTTGGATCTCACCACAGATCATTTAAAGCTGTAAATATAGGGTGCAGAATTGAGTCTAAATGCTTGTGGATGGGTATAAAGCAGACCGGTGAGGTGATCACATGGGCACGTTTAGGGGCGGGCCATGTCGCAAGTTACACTGACCGCCGCCATTACTTGGTATAAATGAATGGTAATTTCACTCCTGCAACTAGGGACTTCGAAGGGGCATTCCAGTCCCGAGCACACAGCCCAGGCAACACGAGACAGGAGACGGTGACCAGACTGGATGGGGACCACCCTTCATCACTACCTATCTGATAAAGCTACATTCTCTAACTCCAGAACAATGAGAAGCTCACCGAACGGCTTTATACCCATTCACAAGCATTTGGATTTATTCATGCACATGTTTATGTTAATTTAATAAAGTTGATTAATATTTTTTATTCATTTATTATCAGTTGTATCTTCATACTTTGTGGGGAATAAAGTTTTTGAGTGAGCACCCTATTGCTAATTTTGGTTCTGTTTTTTACTGCATGTTGTATCTTGTAGGTTTAGTGTGTGCCCTCACTTGTAATTATTTTCTTATCTAATTCAGCTTGACTGTCTTCTCTGATATCTGTACTCCTTGACCCAGCTGTCCTTAGCTTTGGCTTGTTTTCTTGACTTGCCATTTGCCTAGTATAGACATTGCATTAAGCCATGCTCCTCTAAGGTCCAATAACACCCTGCTATCCTTTGCTTCACTATTGGATAGTATAGATTTAAGTTCTGCGTGTAGGGTTATAAAAGTTGCCATAACAGAAGGCTATTTAACACAGAGTACACTGGCAAGGGCCCTTTAAGAATGTATTTAACAGAGTTTGGAGGTTTCTATCCAGGTACGTAAATATCACATGATGCAGCTGAGAGATATATTGACAGTGTTATCGGAGCGTAGTATGGTACTATGGAGTAAAAGCCTGAATACTTGTAGCAATCAGTGAATTAGCCAGGAGATGTACGAAAGATATCATAGGTTCTAGTATAAGTTCTCTGAGTGCTGGCTGACAATCCATGTGGATCCATGTGTGCTCTTAATGATGGAGGATTGTTCATTTATATAAAATATTTAATATTTTTTTGTAAGATTGATATGGTTTGTAAGTTTTAACCTTTAACAAATCTGAGAGCAATATGAAACACGAAGCATCTCTAATCCTGTGCAGCATGTCAGGTTAAAGTTTCTTCTAATTTAACTGAAGAAGATAATTTGGTTGCAAGGCCACTTACACGTCAATACTATGAACAAAATTTAATAGTGGAGTCAGGTTTGTTGCGGTAAAATGTAGTAGTTTAATATTCAGTATTCATTAAATAACAGACGAGAATTATTGGCCTTGCAATCAACATTGTGTTAGTGCCACATGGATGGGTTTGCGGGCAACAGCTTAAAATACATCATAAATGTCAGGTTTCGTAATCCCAGAGCCACTGCCTGACTTCAGGATAAGCTGATTATCATTGTCTATGGAGACATAATGAAGTGAGAATACCTCAGAGATAATCAGTGAATTAATGCTCTGTGAAGGAGTAGAATGCAGAGTAGACAAATCAATATGTTTTCTGTTATTATTAGAACATCTGTTTGTGGATATGCCAATAGGGTTGGATTTACAAGAGGCAAAAGGTAAAGTGGAAATTGTCCAATGATTAAGCCTTTTGAAACTTCAGAAGCAAAGAGTAAGTCTCCCATGTCTGAATCCAAAAGTTGACCGTATATTTGGTAACAAAATTGATCAATTGTTTCACATCACTCTACACTCAATACCCCATAACATTGTACATTTTTTAAAGACAAAAAAAGTAAATGTCACATTGATATAAATATTCAGATCCTGGGGGCGTGGCCAAGAGGCGGAATGGAATGGCGGCTTGGGCGCTGAGCTCCTCCGACCTTGCTCTGCCGATCACTCGAAAGCAGCCCTAGCCACCGACACGGGGAAGCACTCAAAGTCAAGGGGCACCCCCAAACCATCGGGCGCCCGCCAGCCCGCGATCCATGCCTCCATGAGGCAATACCTGTAAGCACAATCGGACCCAACCTCCCAGGCGTCATCTGAGGCCTACCTCTACTCTGAAGCCTCGACACCGACTCAGGGCTCGCCGAGCAGGGAGGAACACGTGGAGCCCTCTGAACCACCACCAGCAGACTGGCTGACCCTGCTGAGAACTCTACCCACAAAGGCAGACCTCAATCAGGTGACCTCAGCACTACACGCTTCCATCAGAGCGGATCTGCAAATGATGAGGTCAGACCTACAGGGCATAGCGGACTGCATGGCCCGGGTAGAAGCAGACCACGACACCCTTACAGCGGCCCAGACTGCAACTGCGTCCACAGAGAAACGCCAAACAGCCCAGCTTCAAATCATGGCACGCTATATTGAAGATCTAGACAACAGGGGCCGCAGGCAAAACCTGAGGATCAGAGGCCTACCCGAAGGTGAGGAGACCCCTACCCAACTCACTGACACACTCACCTCTATATTTAATGGCCTCAGAGAAACACCAATAGAATTTGTCAGGGCGCACCGGTCCCTGAGACCTATGGGCCCCGTAGAGGAATCACCAAGAGACGTCATCTGTTGCCTGGTCCTATATTCCCTCAAAGAGGACATTTTGCATGAAGCACACAACAAAGGAGATATTATACACGACGGGCAACACATTCAGCTGTTCCCAGACCTATGCCCAGCCATGCTACGATACCGCAGAGCACTGAAACCCCTCACCCGGGCATTGGTGATGCAGAAGGTGAGATACAGATGGACTTTCCCAACAGGACTGACAGCCATCACCCCAGGGGACCCCGGCAGATGCACACCCAACAAGACCTGCAGGAGCTACCGGAGGAATTACAACTACCACCCTTAAACATGGCCTAGCCGGACCAGCTAGAATTTTACAACGGCCCTACCGCTCTACAAATGGGAATGCCACAAATTCAGAGAAGGACCAGATCCAGGCTAGAGACCGTGAGGCCAGCGGGATCCACGCGATAGGGACACTGGGCACATACACTATCCAGCAACGACGACTACGTAACTATAACCTGGAACATTCTGGGACTATGCTCCATACACCTAACAGGGCCCGCTTAAATGGACCTACCACACCACAGAGGTCCACACACCTAGGGCCTCACCAAAGAGAGAGGGAGAGGAAGGGAAAGGCACTGGGACACAAGCCAAACCCACTCAACCCACGCTGTAGGCAATTAGAAGGAGAACATTTACAGCTATACACTGGTTGCGGAATGTATGTCGAAGGGAACTGGGGACTGCGGGAGGGTGGGGGAGGGAGAATAGGCCTGCAAGGGTTTCAGATGAAGGAGGAGATGGGGACATGTGGGATGGAGGGACACGTCACTGGAATAACTGTTTGATGGTAACCAGGAACTGGGAAGGGAAGCCTCTCCACACTCGACCTCCATATATAGGATAACCAAACCAAAGTCTGGGCCCTGACGCAGGTCACAGGCCAGGCCACATTCAGGACATCCACCGAAAGGTAAAACACACTTCCACTAACTCCCTGAGACCAAACCCAACCGCTCCCACCCCACCCCCGGAACCATCCCCTGCATACGCCCACGTGCCCCATACTCCACCCGAGGCTGCGAAACCCTGAAACGCAGCCCCATCATGACACAACCGAGAACACATAAACAGGCGAAGATTAACTTCCTCTCCATTAACGCCAGAGGCCTTAATCAACCCGAAAAACGCTCCCAGGCGCTGCGCCACTTCCACAGTCAGAAGTCTCACATAGTGTTCATTCAGGAGACACACTTTAAGGAAGGTCAGACTCCTAGGCTGACAGACAGATATTACGCACAATGTTTCCTCAGCAATAATCCAGAAAGGAAATCCAAAGGCACAGCCATTCTGATACACAAATATCTACACTTTGCACCCACGGCAGTTTTGAGGTACGACCACGGCCGATATGTCTGTGTTAAAGGAGCAATTGCAAATCGCACCTACACACTCGCCAACCTCTACGCCCCTTACAACCGCCAACACCACTTCATAAGAAAGGTGGTAAAAGCAATAGAGAAGTTCGCAGAGGGGTGCCTGATCCTAGGGGGTGACCTGAACGTGGCCCTGCGGCCAACACTAGACACATCCGCTAGATCCTTGACAATACCACAACATGTATTGACCAGTATAACGAAGACCCTCACTGACCAGCGCCTGGTAGGCTGCTGGAGAACTATGCACCCAGAGGACAGAGACTTCACCTTTTTACTCCAGCCCAAACAAGACGTACTCTAGACTAGACTATTTCTTCATCCAACACTATTACTTGACTGACATCAGATGGTCCCACATAGGCACCGCGACCTGGTCAGATCACCCCCTGTCATGATGACATTGACTTCACCACTGTACAGACCTACATGCCGCAACTGGAGACTGAACAAATCCCTTCTCAATGGCCCACTGGTGACTGACGAAGCCCGAGACCTGCACTATACTTCAAAAAAACAACAACACACCAGACGTGGCCCCCCTCTGCCTGTGGGAGGCTCACAAATGCATCATAAGGGACTACTTCATCACGAAAGGAACGGCTATGAAAAGGGATAGGGCCACTCGACTCACGACCCTGATCTCAGACATATAGACGGTATAGACCAGACACAAACAGACTCAACTCCCCGATGACTGGGCTCAGCTGATGGTCCTACGTAGGGAACTATTCTCTATCCTGAACGCAAACTGCCAGAGAGCGTACCTACCCTCTAAATCCTTCTTCTACACAAATGCGAATAAATGCGGTGCCTTGCTGGCCCATATGATAGGCAAAAAAAGGGCGGAGGCATACATACCTAAGATTAGGAACAGAGACGGGCAACTGAAATATTTGCCGACCAAGTATTATAAACAGTATGCGGAAGTCCTCTCCCCACACCTGCTAACCGCACTCAATGTGCTCCGTGAGGGAGCACAGTTCCCCACACAGGCCCTAGCAGTGAACATTTCCCTTATACCCAAAGAAGGCAAACATGCAGAACACTGTGCGAACTATAGGCGGATCTCGCTATTAAATTGCGATCTTAAACTCTTCACTAAAATCCTCTCACACAGGCTACAAGACTTCCTCCCAGAGCTGATCCATAGAGACTAGGTGGGATTCATCCCACAACGAGAGGCCCGGGACAATACAATCCGGGCACTCGACCTGATCCATACTGCAACCAACAGGTCGGAGGGCTTTCTCCTGCTCTCCACGGATGCGGAGAAGGCCTTTGACCGAATTGACTGGGGCTTCATGCTAATGGTCCTTGAGACACTGGGTGTGGGCCCGTACATGATGCGCTGGATTGTGGCCCTGTACTCGATGCCTACGGCACGCATCTGCATTATCGGGTCTTTCACTGACCCATTCCCGATAAGGAACGGAACATGACAGGGGTGCCCCCTCTCACCCCTGCTGTTCATATTGGCCCTCGAACCCTTCCTAAACTCAATACGAAACAACCCCAACATCCCGCGACTACAGGTGGGGGGAAGAAACAGGGCGTGGCCACGTACACGGATGACTTGCTGTTCTTTGTCACTAAACCCGAAACGTCCATGCCTGCTATCATGGAAGAGTTCACTACATACAGAGCGCTGTCCAATTTTAAAATCGAAGATCCTTAATGTCTCAGTCCCACCTTCCTAGGTGACAACCCTGAAACAAACACTACAGGTGGTCAGACACTTCCTTGAAATCACAAGAGACCTCACTTAACTTTACACGGCAATTTCCAACCACTTCTGAACACAATACACAAAGACCTGGAGGAATGGACAAAGGTCTACCTCTCCTGGTTCAGAAGGCTAGGGGTGCTCAAAATGAATGTCCTACCTAGGGTGCTTTATTTATTCCAGACCCTCCCTATCACTTTTCCAGAGGCCTTCTTCACCTCTCTGCGCTCCATGGCCCTTAAGTTCACATGGCACAAACTTAGAACACGATATCCTCACACTGCCAAAAATGAAGGGGGTCCTTGTCCTACCAGATTTTCTGGTGTACCACAGGGCCACACACATTCAGAGAATAGTGGAGTGGACCAAAACAGGAGTAACCAAACTATGGAAAGACATTGAGCAGACCGATTTCGGTCCTCCTGTGGCTAGACTACCAACAAGGCAGACACCTGGCCACCCCACACCCACTCATTAGAGCTACCCTGCAGATCTGGCACAAGCAAGCGACACCTTCATCGCTCACCACCTCACCATCCCCACTGCTCCTTTGACCCACAATAATGCCTTCCCAGCGGGGCTGGAAGCGGGTCCGCTCAAATGCCTCGTAGGACAGGAAACACCCAGGATCTTCCACGCTATGGGAAATTGCAAAATGCGACCCCTGGAGTCCGTGGTGCCGACTGAACGAGAATAGTTCATGACCCACTTTAGGTACAAGCAACTAACCGAATTTGCGCTCTCTGTAACCAAGGGTAATTGCGCCTCCAGACCTTTAACCGAATTTGAGGAACTCTGCCAAGACCCAGACCCAATGGTAAGGGGCCTATCCACACTATACGGACTACTAATGAGGATGATGAGGCTCCCGCAACCGAGCTTTATGGGGAAGTGGAAAGCAAACTTGGGTACCACATTCACACCGGCACGATGGGATAAAATATGCACCCTCTCACTCCACTGTGTAACGTCGAGTGGGACGCAGGAAATGGCATACAAAGTACTGGCATGTTGGTACCGCACCCCACACCTCACCCACATCTATGACCCCACCACAGACGATACTTGCTGGAGATGTGGTAGAGAACAGGGCACCTTTATTCACTTATGCTGGGACTGCCCACAGATTAGACCATAATGGGAGACAATACACACAATCATCGCACGGTTCTCAGACGCCCCACCGAACCTGAACCCGACAGCTTTCCTCCTACACCACACCACTACCCGCAGCTCAGAGTACAAAAAAATCATTGACAATTAGGATACTCAATGTAGCCAAAAGCCTAATCCCCCTATACTGGAAAAAACAGACTGCACCCTCCCTAACTCTATGGTTCCAAAGTATGGAGGACCTCAGGGCGATGGAACAGCTCTCCTTACAGGCAGAGGGGAGATCACAGACATATATGACGACTTGGACACATTGGATTCTGACTTCCGAATGCCCTGATTTCCAGACGCTCATACACTGACTAAGAAACGGCCATTCAGACACACGACGAACAGACCGGACGAAAAGAACAACAACTGACATGAGCTAACAAGATACGAAGCCACCGGACGGACCCGAAGGGACCGTGGGGAGCAAGACAGACAAAACTAAACAGGGACCAGGGAGGGAGAGGGAGCGAACACCAAACAACAGGTAGTAACATCTTGGGAGACAACCGGCCACATAGGGGGAAAGTACAGCTTAACTAAAGCACAGTACACATGAGCGCTCCATACACCCCTCCCCCCCTGCAGACCCGCAGGCTAGACAGCCGAGTTAATTACCCTACACGGGTCATATTGGAGAAAGTAAAAGCAGGTACATAAAGTTTAGACACTGCGAGGAAAGCAGAAAAAAACCCACAAATGACTGTTTATAGAATGTTTACTTAGGATTAGAAAGAAAAAAAAGGAAGATATTTTGGAACAGATAAAGTTCCAATATAAGATGGAATCTAACCCTATATATATAATCCCTATTCTAGAAACCTAAATGATCTGTGGTTACCACGGACTTCCAAATTTCCTATATAACTGTTAAATGCTAGGCTAAAGACTAACCCTCACTGAATCTCATAAATTCAAGGTATTGTTGTTTTTTTTTCTTGTTTAATTGGATTGTGAAATTTAGTAATGGCTATATATACTTGATATTTCGATGAAAAAAACTCTTATGTATCTAATGTTATAATGATATGTATGTAATAAGAAAATGCTTAAATAAAAAAAAAAAAAGAAAGAAAGAAGAAAAGGGAACTACTAGAGGGGATAAACCCAAACAGAAACAGAATGCAACAAACATGCCAACTGAACCAAGAAATGCATTACTGATGACTTAAACTGCTATGATAATAGAACAGAATACGAGATCTGCGTATCTCGAGTCAACTTGCACTGGATGACAGAACTGAAACCTGCGTGTTTCTCTAAACTAACCACTTGTCTTTCTTCTTTCTGTAACAACACAAATTTTTGAATAAAAAGAAAGTTACAAAAAAAAAAATTCAGATCCTTACCTCAGTACTTAGTTAAAGTACCTTTGACTGCCATTACAGTCAACAACAAGTTGCTGGCAAACAAAGATTAGCTTTTTAGGAATCCATGAACATTTGCCTGATGCTGAATATCACAGATATTCTAAGAAATTGACCAGCTTATTTTCTTTTTAGATTTTGATGATGATTTTACCATAACATTTTTGGTAATAGTTTGTTAACCATTGCTCCTTTGTGTCCTAAATGTTCAATGCAATATACGCCAACAAGAATTTTATTTTTGCTTTATACTATACTGGTGATGAATATATTTTTTTCTAAAAAGAATATAGATTAAAAAAACAAACTATAATGCAGAGATCTCAAAAATGTTACTGCTAGATGATAATATAACATTATATGATTATATGATTAGTTACTGCTAGAACAACATATAATTACCATGAAGTCTTGTTATCTATCAGATTCAGTACAGTGTTATCAATATCTGTCAAATGACGCAATTTTCTGTAAGTCTGACTAGTTAATTTCATGGATAATTTTTTAGAAAAGTAATCATATTATTATTATTATTATTATTATTGGTATTTATATAGCGCCAGCTTATTCCGCAGCGCTCTACAATAAAAGGGGAATTTACCAAATAAGACAATAACAAAATGGAACAGGATCAATAGCTAGTTGAGGACCATGCTTAAACGAGCTTACAGTCTATCGCACATTGATTTGCCTGCACACTAGTAAAATTTGCCTCATTCTTTTCTAGAAATCAATCATTATTCTGTGTGTTTTTGAAATGTTTTATTGTGTACACATAATAGAAAACAACATATTTCCCTATATGCGTTTAAGAGATTTTTCATTGGCATATTCACAGAGTTATTTGCCATTAAAATGGCAATACACTAAAAATGGAGATGTCATTAGCCATTTTGAATCCTGAACTTTATTTAAGCAATGCCTGGATAATCTGCAAGTAAAAGTACAAATCAATAAGTGCTATGTGACTATGTGACTATCCCTTACTGGGGGACTAAGCTTGGGAAGTATTTAATTGTCTCCTTTACAAGTGGTTAATTACCGTGACTGTACTAAGGAGGTAGTATGTAGTGGCTCAGAAAACAAAACAGACAGGCCTCTGTCAGAGCCTAAGATCAACACTTCACCCCACTGTGTGTTGCTGCTGTTGAAATAGTGCTGTCACTCAGTGGCAGATTATCTGAAAAAAGAGTGACAGTTTACAGATGCCACCCACATCTCTCATACAC